TTTTTTTTTTTTTTTTTTTTTTTGCAAAAGAATATTTGGAATGCCAGCTTAAATGTAAATGAAAAGCTTGGCCAAAATCTGTTCATAAATGTGCAAAAGATGCAGAAATCTGAATTGTGTGTTCAGGCAGGACTTGAATTAGTCGATAGACTGAATCCACAACTTTATTTGTCTGTTTAATTGTCTGTTAAACTGTATTTAATATACCAAGTTTGGCTAGATTGAGATCAAGCATATACCCTTGTAATAGCATAACAAACATCCACTTTAAATTATAGTATAGATTTATTTATTTCATTTTTTTTTCAGATGAAGCTATTTCACCAACATTATTGGATGCAAAGTGGAATCAGATCCTAGATCCTCCTTCTCATCGGCTGTCTTTTAACCCAGCTCTAGCCAATGTGAATGAATCTACAATTCCCAGTGACTGTCCACAAAAATTAAAGGCTTTGTCCCTGTCTCATTTAGCCACTGGATCAAGAGGGGGAGGAGACCATTGTTCTAATGGAAAGAATCTTAATATGAGTCAAGAAATCCCAAACATGTGGATTGATGATCAGACAACAACCGAGGATCAACTAATAAAGAGAAATGGTAATCAAAGCGTTCACTGTAATGTTGTGGATGAAGAAGAAAGAAAATGTGGCAGTTGTTTACCAGAGGAAAAAAATGTTGTAGTCATAGCAGTCATGCATAACTGTGACAAGAAAACATTGCAAAGTGATTCATTAGATTGTAAAAATCACAACAATCCCTCCATAATGGATACTGTTAGCTTTACACTGGATGGTGAAATGCAAGAAGCTAATCAGCTTGATGTTACTGTAAATGGGTCCACTGAGAAAGATACAGATACTGAAAAAGAAGCAGTACAAGCAAGCAGGTTGAATACAGAAGAAGATTATGTTAAACATTGTACTGCTACTGTTTCTGATTGCTTATCCAGTGGCTATTCCTCTTCTCTGTTAAAGGAGAAAGATAATATAAATAAAGACTCTCATTTCTCAGAAACTCCAGCACCAGGGACAAATGTATTTCCCTTGCAGAGGCCACTTGATCCTAGTGTTAAAATGCAAGAAAGCTGTACATCAGGTGAGGGTTTTGATATTGATGT